TGGTTGCATTTCCACATCTGTAGGGTCCGCACCAACAGTAGTCATTTCAAGATCAAAACCTGTCTGTAGAAAAGGACGAATTTCGGAGTCATACCAAGATTGATGCTTCTTTTCAATTACTGTGAGGATTGATTTCATTGAATAGCCAAATTCAATTATGCTATTCTTTTTATACTTTCCTCCATAATGATATCCTGCAGTATGCATTGCAACTAAGTGGCCATTTCTGTCAAACACAGGTGAGCCTGAAGAGCCATGGAAGAAAGAGGTGTCATAGGTGATTGCATTATGATTATAAATGATTTCTGGGAAATCTCTAGGATTGTACACATGGATACATTTTATACCCTTGGCATCAATTCCACACTGGAAGTAATTGCATTGTGTCCATTGTCCCTGCTGTAAGCGACGAGTACTCTCTTCTTTGCGTTCATACACACTGATAATAGAACAAGGATCTGTCCGCTTTGCTTCTCCATCTGGATGACCAATGATATCAATAAGACCATTGAATGGTGGAGGGAAGATGAACTGCACCAAGCTGCCAGGAAGTGAACTTTTGTTTCCATTTTCTTTCAGTTTCAGGACAGCAAAATCAAGATCGTTGTCTGATATTTCAAACCATTCTTCAAGTGTGAACCAGTTATCAGGATCAGGGTGTGAATTTTCATAAGAGAAAGTCACACGAGCTGACTGGCTTATTTTGAGTGCCCAGTCTTTTTCTTCCATGCCTTCTCCAACTATCAATTTTATCACATGGTGGCAGGTGAGTACGTACTTGCCACACAAGACAAAACAAGTAGCAGAGCCCTCCTTTGCAAAAATGCCCCACTCTATATACCCAACTGATTTACCGAAATTAGCACGGAAACTTGACAATTTAACTGGAATTGAGGTATTGTTCTCCTTAGCAAAGTTTTCTTTGCACACTTGAAGTTGCTCCTTGTGATTTTGAAAGAAGGTAATGATTAATTGGCTCTGTTTCTCCAGATCAGGATATGTGTTTAAGAGATTAGATTTAAAAGAATACAAAGCTTTCAGTTGTGCTGCTTGAGAAACTGGAAGGATCTGTTCATTATTTGGACCCTTAGTAGCATTGACCCGTCTCTTAGTCTTCACATGAATTCTAAAGGTCCTGTTAGATAATGAATTCACTGTGTGGCTGTTTGGTATGGACATTTTATTCTCCATTAGCACCCAATCTCTTTCTTTTAGAAGCAGTGTAAAGCGGCCATCTTTACATATGGCATCCTTTGTGGATTCTTCTTTTGGAGCAAAGACACATAGATTGCAATGTTCTTTAAGAAGCTGGTTACATCGAATTATCTTATGACTTAGTGGCTCATTGGTTTCAAATTTATTTGCATTTGGAGCAACAAAGAACAAGACACATTCCTTGCTCTTCATTTCATCTTGCCTGTATTCCAGTTCATCAGGGCTCTTAGTTTGCTTACTGTAAAATTTCAATCCAAATTGGGAGCCACCAGGCACATATTTCAGAGGCATCCCCAAATTAACACAACCCTCAATCCCTTTCTTCCCTATCAAGTACATCTTGCCCTTCTTTTTTTGCATGTAAGCCTTAATATCTTCAGAAGCCTTGAGGGCAGTAAGCAGGCTATTGTGGATCGTGCCTTTCACCACATGCTCCTTTCCACCATCTCCCAAATTCACAGTGAATTCTCGCTCTTCATCTGTTGTATTCTCAATGTTTGCTGGAGCCTGCCCTTCAGGATGATTCCCAATTTCTGTCATAGGATGTTGTCTTTTCACTATTTTGATACTTGAACTGGGCTCAGATCCATCATTACAATGCTAATGGAAAAACAAGAAATGAAATAAAAAATGTTTGTTTATGTGATTTACTTTTTTTTAAAAAATGGTATCTATCTGAAGGTCTGCAGTGTGGCAATAAAAGCAGAAAAATACATTTTATACAAACACTATTGCTGCAGCACAAAACCAACTGGCAGAGCTATTTTGGGTGATTAGGGTACTAATCCAACCTGGCTCAAAAGAGAAATTCAACCAATAAAACAGTATTGTTGAAAGCTTTCATG